AGAGAGAGAGAGAGAGAGAGAGAGAGTCTGATTTGGGGAGGGGGGAGAGAGAGAGAGTAAATCTCGAGACAATCCTTTTCCATGCCCCAGAAGTGTAAGAACTTGCTACAGCCTTTGGGAACCACCCAGACGCATTCAAGGCCATACTTGAGCTAAATCACTTGTGTTACAAGTAACAAGTCTACAGTCACAAAATGCCACCACCACTTTTCGAGCAGCCACCAAATTACAATCCTAAGCTTAGGCATACCAAGGACCACGGCCCTTTGGTAGACACACGTTGTCCTAATCAACAAGGTGTAACTTTTGTGCAGCACCGGACCAAAGCAGTTCCTTGATCAACCTTTCTAACCAAGCCACAATGGCTCCCAGCATGTAAAACAATGACATCTGCATCATTGGGATATTCGGGAGTGTGGCTTTTATGAGGGATAATCTCCCATCTTAAGACAAAAATCTGGCTTTCCATGCTGCCCTCCCACGCTCAACTCTATCTACAATTGCATCCATAGCTGTTTGGGTGGTTTGCCCATGCAGACGGGGAGGGCAAGATACTTTTAAGTTAAGGAGTCTACACCACATCCCAACCTTTATTAGACCCATGACAACTTCAAAAATCCTAAGGCGCAACAATAGGTTGTCTGGTTTTTAATGGTTTCAATCACAAAAGACAAAAGTGTCATGGTTTCAGTCACAAAAGACATAAGTGTCATTTGCATACTGACTGTGGATATTGCCTTTAGAGGACTTAAAACCACTTAGCAATTGGAACAATCTTGAGATGGATGGACTACCAACAAAAGGCGCAGGGGTCCCCTTCTCTGAGATCTCTCAAAGGAAAAATAAATTGATGGGAGCCATTAACAAATATTAATAATATGGCAATGAGTTGCAGCCCCTGATCCAGGATCTCCATTTCTCTCCAAATCCCATCCAGTGTAACACTTCGTTCGAGATGGCCCAATCAAGATGACCTTATACCTTTTCCTAATCTAACTCCCAGATAAGACCGGGCGTGAATATACTCATGTGCTGTTAGGTCTCCGCACAATACCTACCTGTCCTGGACAAACTCTCCTTGGTTTACAAAGAAAACAGAGTTTAACATCTGTCGAAGGTGGGAGACAAGCACCTCACAAAGCATTTTATATGAGCTATTAAGCATGGTAATCATCTTGAAAGTCTTTTAGTTCCTCAACAACCTCCATCTTATTGCCCAAGAACGAATGTAGAATTCATGAATGATTGTCGTATGGTAAGATTCAGCAAGATAAGGCAACAATGAAGACTGGCCCTCCAGGCCTACCAATCCCAATGCATTACAAAGTATCCATTGTAACCTCGCTCAAGGGATAAAGGGGTTAGGGAATGGGAGACCTGCTCTTTCGCTCGCTCACTAGGGTTTACAGGGGCTAAGGGTTGGAAAGGCCCGCTCAACAGTCACAAGATCCACTTACAGGTTAAGTCTCAAGGGTGAGTTTAGGCTTAAAGAGAACTCGAGACGGACGTACGCATGAGAGCTGAGGGAGGGCAGCATTACTTCATGGGCCACGAAGAGCTTTAGCGCAAAGGGGCGAGAGAAGGCAATACTGTTGCTTGCCTGCCTTGGTAGCTTACTTGCTAGCTCTCTTGCTTTATTGGTCTTCCTCCCGAGCCTAAGAAACTCTAGCTCCAATGGCACAGGAGGCTGGACCGCTAGAAACGTTCTGTGAAATATGATGAGTAATGTGTAGAACAAAAACTAAAGGTGCTCCTTGGTATTTGCTGAACCCAGTATGGAACCATCGTCAACAATATAGCCGTAGTGTATCCGACACTAGTGTAAACATGAACCAAAGTATAAAATCCATATATGCAAGGGGCCTAGGGGGGAGGCGATCCCTCCGTGGAACCTTGTTTCAGCTATCCAGGTGGTGAGGGGAACTCAATGGAGCTTACTCCACCCATTAAGGGACCTCAATCCTATCTTTTAGGGATCTCAACCACTATAGAAGGGGAATTGCAGCCCTATTGAAAATGGGTTGCAATCCTGGTTCGAATGGTTTTCAATCCTAGGGGAAGTTTTAAAAGGTATTGAATTTGGAATTTGAAGTCTTTCATTTTAAGTTGCTTTTTTGCTTTCTAAAAGATTTATTTCGACCACCAGTTAACATTTTTCCTTTTGATTTTTATGGTCACGGAGTGCAACAGTGGTTAAAAATCATTTACCAAATTTGGAATTGCTAGAGCGAGCTCTGACCCAAGAAGTTCGTGATCCCAGATGGTCAGGAACTGGGGAATCTCCCAAGTTGTCCACAATCAGATGATACTATAGTGAATCCATGGATTCAAAGAGGGACTCCAATTCTTGAGTCCCATTTATGCGTCTTCCTATGTATAGAGTTCTCATTGTGCACGTGTATAGATAATACAAAGCGGTGGATTGTATATGTCTTAATTTTTAAATATCGCATTAAAAAAATAAAATAATATTTATATATCACCCAAAAAAAAATAGCATGCATACATATAAAGGACACCATCCAAGTGCTCCCATATTCATATACCACATATATCAGAGGCTGCTCCTTGAACAGGGCTGGGAGCTTCAACTATGGGTTGATCCCAGGTCCAAACAAGTATGGGTTAACATCATCGAGGATGTCTTCAATATCATCTAATGTGAAGGCAGGTTTTGAAGAAATAAAAGACTGTAGACACTAACAAACAGCAGCCTGCTCATCACATGCACAAAGACAGTAGAGAACAATCATACTAATTTTGGTGTATATTGGTCTGAGATTACTTGATAAAACTTGCATCTAGAAGTTGACACAGCATTTTACTTGCTCTATTAATATAACTTCGCAAACAAAAGTAACCATGCATTCCTAGAATTTCATCCAGCAAAAGGACCTATTATGGAAATGTGGATTATGCATCCCTTGTTCAATGAATAAATGCGACTCTAGAGATTAAACAAATGCATATCACTACAAAAGATTTTCCATATACATAAGTCAATCAGAGAGTAAGTTAGGAGAGGAAAAGAAAAAAGAAGATTCTCTACCTCAAGAAGATTGTATCTCTCTAGTAGCTGATTTTTGGGCAGGATGCCAAGTGAAAGCTTTACAGGTACAAGGTACTTGAGAATCATCCTATTACCCGGAAATTGAAATTTGAGTCAAGGTTGGAAGGTTTACCGTAGTGCAAGACATTTAACTACTGGTTTATAGAATACCTCATGGGAAAAGCATGCAAGAATCACACTACGTGAAAATTTACAGCAAATAAAAAAATTTATTACATTTTTATTTTCGCCAAATACCAACCCTGAGATCTAGTGCACCACAACAACAAGACCAAACTCTAGAACATTAAAAGCATGGCACACCTGAACCAAACCTTATATTTGCTTCATGGTGAGGGTTGCAATGTCCCAAGGCATACATGAGTTTCTGCTCTGCCTGTTAAGCATCATAAATGAAAGTTCCCATAAGAATGAACAGACGAATAAAATTCCACAAAGTATGTGAGGTAGAAGAACTATATGTGATATTATTAATATATATTGAAATTTATTTTTTAATCAGTGGAAAAATCTATAAAAATGTCAAAGCATACAGAGTGATGGACACTTGACAAAAGTTCATAAAGTTCACAAGTAGTGACTCATGTTAAACAAACAACCATTTTAGTGAGAGGTGGCTAGATAATAACCAACAAAATATGGACCAAAAAACTGCCAAGAATGACAATGATATACTAGCTTGAGAAGTTCTCCAAAAATCTCATTATCACTAGGACTAGTTTGCAAAAACTTTCCTGTTTATAAGTTCACAACTTCAAACTTTAAGGAACTAAGAAGGCTGTATACTATAACTTTGAAATTTATGAGAAACAAAGAAATCAATAGGTTACACTCTTAAAAATTTATATTTCTTAAGAAAGTAAGAAAATCTCTAGGCTATTCACTTTCATAAAAAAGAAACAATAAAGTTCCTGTGTGCTCCACCAACATCACCATCCCCAACTGCCACCTCCACTTCCCCGCCTACATTCACCATCATCACCCACCAGCATTCACACTGGCCACCAGCTCAAACACCATTTCCACCAACAGCTACGGATACCAAATACCCTTCACCACCTCCATCCTTCCCACCCATGCAAATACCCTTCACCACCTCCATCCTTCCCACCCATGCAACACCTCCACCCATATTTTGAACCTTAGCTCCACGGAACAATATGCTACTGCTGAAACACGGAACAATTGAAAAACAAGAATTCTGAACGGTGAACAACCAGAACCTATTACTCACTACATCAAACAATTTCCTCCATCATTGACCTCCAACACAGCCACCCATCTCTATTAACCACCCAAACACCACCCCCCATCTTAATCTTCAACCCTCCTTCAAACAACACTAGAAGCCACTGCAATCCTGCTTAAACTCCAACCAAGCAAAGTCCTACAAGATCAAACACAGCTGAAAATGCCCCCGGACCTCTTACTCAGCAATTGTTGCAAGAGAGAATACTGCCCTCAAATTTGACCAAATGTACCCCAGCTCAAAGGTTCAAGGTCGGGTTGTCATCAATCTACAGCAGCATGATGTCAAGGTAGCAATGAATCAATATAAGAGCTGCTTGGTTTGATACCTCAAGGGTCCCCATCTTCCACTGACCTATGCAATTGATAGGCTAAAATCGATTTGGGGTATGAAAAGACTGGTTCAGGCAACCCCTCGTAGATTCTATATGGAAGAAAATTGGGAAAAGGTCTTGATGGGGGCTTCATTAAAGTTTGGAGGAAGTTCATTCAATTAAAAAGATGGAGTGGAGGTGGCTTCCCAGAAATACCTTCATGTACATTGATGCCTGCTTGGATCAGGCATCCTAACCTTCCTGAGTTCTGCTGGTTTCCAAAAATCCTCGGCTCCATTGCAGCAGTCGACACAACACTTGGGACTGATAGCACAAGTGAGGAAACTAACCTATGCCAGGGGTCGAGTTCTGCTGGATTTTGATGAGAGGCCAAACTCTATCGGGTCGCTAACAACCTCTAAATTCTAGTGCAGTCCAATGATCAAAATAATTTTGGTTAAGCAGGGTCCTCCTCAATGAACAAATTTCCAGCGAAGTCCAATACGGAGCCCAAGACCCCAACAAAGCAAATAATGCGCCAAAACACAACCTCAAATATAAACAGATCCACCTACCATAAAATCAAATTCAGAAACTTCTTTTGGGAATCCAATTGAAAATATCCAAACGCCAACCACACCCAACCCCATTTGGCCATCCCCACTTACCCAGAACTCAAACACACCAGTAAAAAGGAAGTTCCCAAAAAGAACATCTTTCACCTCAAGCCAAAAAACAAAAAAGTAAGGAAGCCAAGCATGAAAGAGAGTGCCAAGGCCCAGAATGAGGAGAAAGAAAGGAAAGCAAAGTAAAGCATTCAAAGGAAACACACCACAACCACCCTCCCCCCCCCATCCAAAAAAAAAAAAAAAACCCGCACCCAAAAGAAGAAAATCAGCCCCAAGGGTATATTTCCTCATTCCAGTCTCAAAATTCATACTAATTTGACACTAAAATTAAGGTACAATCAAGGTAGCGAGTATTGCAATGGCGAGTCATTGTCCTACATTGAAGAACAAGGCATAGAACATAAAAATTCTTGCTCATATACGCCGCAGCAAAATGGGGTGGCAGAAAAAAAGAATAGACACCTCTTAGAAGGGAGCTATGCTCTTCTATTGAGTATGAAATAACCTAAAAAGTACTAATCTGAAGTTGTGCTTACTGCTTCCTATCTCATCAATCGAATTCGCTCTCGTGTTCCAGACTATAAATTGCACTATAAACTTCTCAATCCTGATTGCCCACATTTTAGTGTTCCTCCTAAGGTCTTTGGTCGTGCTTGCTTTGCACATGTTCTTGGTCTAAATCATAAAAACATTAGACCTGAAGTCCATAAAATTTATTTTCTTTATTGTCCTTCATCTCAGAAAGGTTACAAATGCAATGATCTCACGTCTGGGAAAAAATTTGTTTCAATGGATGTAACCTTTTCTTAACCTACTCCTTTCTTCCCTACCTCTCTTCAGGGGGAGCACAATGTGGAAGAGTGGAAGAGATCTCTCATGTTCCTCTTCATGTTCCCCTTCCTGTTCCCTTTTTTAATGACTCAAGGTCATAGAGGACAGTGGGGAGCAGTCTTGTGACGCCGAAGCTGAAAAAAGGGAATTAAAGGTTTATACTCGGCGGAAACCAAAGAAGTGGAGACCACTATAGCTAGCATGCCTCAAAGTCAGCCTCATAACTCTGATCTAGGTAATCTTGATTATGTTTTCATCAATTCTTAGTGTGAACAATTGGATCTGCCCATTGCTAGACATAAAGGTAAATATAGTTGTACTGCTCACCCAATTAGCAATTTTGTGTCTTATGAGTCCTTGTCTCCTTCCTACAATGCTTGTCTTGTTTTCCTATCTCTTCCTGTATTACAAAAACTTTAGCTCATCCTAAGTGGAAAAGAAGAGGCTATGTGTGAGGAGATGAGGGATTTACTTAAGAATGGTGCTTGGGAGATGGTGAACCTTCCCAAAGAAAGAACTTAGTTGGCTGCAACTGGGTTTATACTGTGAAGCACCAAGCTGATGGTACCATTGACAGCTACAAAGCAAGACTGGTTGCCAAGGGTTTTACTCACACTTATGGAATAGACTACCAGGAAACATTTGTTCCTGTAGCTAAAATGAATTCTATTCGAGTATTTTTGTCTTTAGCGGCTAACTTGGAGTGGCCATTGCCATCAGTTTCCTTCATGGGGAATTACATGAAAAAGTGTCCATGGTACCTCCGCGTAGGTTTCGTGCACCTGGATGTGAAGGGAAAGTGTGTAGACTAAGAAAGGCCATCTATGGACTAAAACAATCTCCGCAGGCATGGTTTTAAAGGTTCAGTGGGGATGTCAAAGAATCAAGTATAATCAAAGTCATGTTGACCATAAACATACCAAGACCATCACCACAATCCTAATTGTATATGTGGATGATATTGTTATAACTGGTAATTGCAAGGAAATTCAGCAACTCAATACTTTTTTGGTGAGAGAATTTGAAATCAAAGACCTAGGCCCACTGAAGTTTTTTCTTGGAATAGAAGTAGCTAGGTCAAAAAGCGGAATTTTCATCTCTCCAAGGTAGCATATATTGGTTCTACTTACGAAACTAGAAAGCTTGGGAGAAACCAGCAGACACACCCATAAAACAAAATCACAAGCATGATGACAAAAGGGGAGAAGCTCCTATGTTTCAAAGATTAGAGGGTTTACTAATATACTTTTCTCTTACATAGTCAATATACTTTTCTCTTACACGTCCAGACATTGCATATGTTGTTAGTGTGATTAGTCAGTTTATGCATTCCCCACGAACTATGCACCTTGAAGCCACTACTCGAATACTCAAGTACCTCAAACCATCACCCGGGAGAGGACTACTATTTGCTAATCATGAGCATTTATGGGTTGAAGCCTATATAGATGCAGATTTAGCTGGTTTTATTATAGATCAAAGATTGACATCAAGGTACTGCACTTTTGTTGGAGGTAACATTGTGACTTGGAGGAGTAAAAAGCAGTTAGTAGTAGCAAGATCAAGTGCAAAAGCTGAGTATAGATCCATGGCTCATGGTGCATGTGAATTACTCTGTCTAAAAATTCTCTTATGAGAACTTGGTCTTCCCGTGAAAGGGTCAATATCTTTGTACCATGACGACAAGGCAGCCATCAGTATAGCCCATAATCCGGTCCAACATGATAAAATGAAGCATATAGAAGTGGATTGTCATTTCATTTGAGAAAGGACTGCTACCAAGGAAATTTGTCTTCCATATGTTAAAACCGAAGACCAACTAGAAGACATTCTCACCAAAGTTGTGGGGACTTCTCGACTAACCCTGATAATACTTCGACCCCCATCTCTCCCTCCCAAGTGTCTGCAGAAGCCGAGGAGGGCGACAGGGATGGGCAAAATTGCATTGATGCGAGGATGAGAGAGATGTACAGAATCATGGGTTTCGAGTATGATGGACCGGAAGGACCAGCCCACAGGTTTATCACAGCAAACGCAGATAGTAGATTACAGGTGAGATTCAGCGGCCAAAGAGAACTCTGTAATCTTTTCTCCTCTTTGCCTTTTGAAGGAGAGCCCCTTGCTAGCTCTCCCGCCCCCCTCTCCACGGTTCGTCCAAGGAAGTCTCCTAGACTGGCCTCCGTCCCCTCTTTACCAACAGCTCAGAAATGAAGTTCCTCACTTGGAACATAAAATGGCCAGGACAATCCTCCAAGAAGAGTGTTGTTAAGGACCTCACCTCTAAACTCTGCCCTTCTATTCTTGTCCTCCTTGAAACCAAACTCCCTGAACCTAACCTTCAACTCATCCGCCAA